TCTCTCTCTCTCTCTCTCTCTCTCTCTCTCTCTCAAATAAAAATGCCAATTACTGACAAATCAAGTCATAACAAGTATGATTTTTGTGTGATTTAATGGATATTAATTAGTATTCATGTCATTAATCAACAGGTAATGATACAATACGTAACCTATACACTACAGAATGCACAATATACGCACTAATACCAAGGTCAGTATAATCACGATGGATTCTGAAAGTTTTTTAGTTTCCTATATAACGCACACAGAAAGCGAAGGTTTCGCACATTTAATACAAGCATTTCTTATGGGAAAGTCATAATCGAAATATTTAATTAAGCTAAACCTCTCGTGTGATTTTTATCATAATTGTTTTTAAGTCGGTAAATATGAGGGTCTATTGTATCGTAATTTTTGTGGCCGTATCGGGGCTATCGTTGGCCCAAAAGCGCAAAAATAGGTCCGAAGAGAAAAATTGTAAGAAGGACGATTTTGACAGACACTCGAGCAACGTGTTCGGCCAGTTCGGTCTAGATGAACTCAGTTTCCCGGAGACCCGGTCACAATTGAGTGCGTACTGCAAGTAAGTGACTATTATTATACCCTCGTCGATAACCAAGAATATAATCATAATTAATGAATTTAATACATAACCAAGCAGCTATAAAACCCTTAACATATAATGTATATCTTTCCGGGACATGTAACTTTATTTATTTTATCCCATTATAATAACTATAACAATAATAATATTTTTTAGATCAATTTAATCAGAAATTAGTTTAGATAATTTTAAATAAATATTTTCAATTTACAATTGCAAATTAACTGAAAAATGATAATATTGTAACAAGGTAAATTACACGTTTTTCCATACGCACAGGAAAGCTAAGGAGAGCACAGAATTTTCCAAACAATACGGAACTAATTGCCTGAAGAGCACATCCCAAACACTGATGAGTTTGGCCACATATAACTTTGACAAAGTGAACAAGGCCTACTGCGCCAAGAATGGTAAACTGAAAGATGCTTGGGTCAATTGGGCCAAGTGCGGCAACCAGGCTAAACCAAAAACCACTAAATGCTGGGACACCATGTTAGTGACCATGGCCAATGCGAAAAAGATTCAGAACAGCAAGCTCAGAATACCCACCGTATGCTGGTAAGTTTGATGTAATTAGTTAATTGCTGCATTATATTAATACAGTATAAATTATATTTAATTAACAATACAATCAATATTATAATTATATACAATTATCAACAAAAATACACTAAAACTAAACCACAACACAATTAATTCAAATAATTAACAAGTATCATTTTTAAATTGCAACTAGCAACTATTACCGGTGGATTAAATGCACGAGTAAGGCGCTCGAGGACATGGGCCCGAGTGTATGTTCAAAACAGGCTGTCGAGGGCTATACCGCGCATATTAATAAGGCATCTGTCGACTCTATGAACCTGATCTGTTCACGCTACGAAGACAATCCGACCAAGTGCGAGGCCAACTTTAAGGAGGTGCCCAATACCAGACCCAAACGCTTGGACAAAATGCCCTTGCTCTATGTGTTTGATCTGTTTGACTCGTTGTAAGTTTATAATCTAGATAGGTTTTGTTTTGCTTACTTTAAGGTGCATTTTGTGAAGTTTATTTTTTTATTGTGGTGATTCTTATTTATCACGGTTATATTGTTTTGTGATAAATATTGAGTTATTGATTAAATTTATTTTGACTATGCACATATTTTCGTAATTATATGTTGACTATTTTACGAATATTGACTTTATTTAATTATGATTAATATGTTTTAATTCTAGCTAATTATGTTTGATTTTTGAATAAAACAATATTATTTATACTAATTATAACAATAATAATTTGAATGTGTATTTTGTAAGCAACAAGGCCAAATAAATTTGTATTAATTTATTAATGTATTGATTAATAAAACTAATTAACATGAACAATGTTTTTATTCAAAAATTATTTTTTAAACAAACATTTTAATATTATGCTGACTATCAAGGTTGATTTAATTTACATTTCAAAATATTACAATTTGCTGAAATAATTATTGATAAAACGTCTATCACATTTACTATGACAGGTTACAACACAATCAAGGTTTCATAGTTATAATTATGTTGTGCGGTGAGCCCTTACCTAGGGCTACACGTTACAAAACTATGTTGTGAGCGGAGGTCTTACCGGGCCTCGTAGCTCACAACTGTTCACTTCGATCTCATTTGTTGCAATTGTTAGTCAAATATGTTAGTGAATGTTATGGGCGACTGCCCGATTCGTTTTATTTATTAGTAAACATATATGACTATATTTGTAATGTAGTTCCCGAGCGGTGGAACCATTACATAATTATTGAACAAATCATTCACTAAGATTACATGGAAAGAGTACCCGCGCGGCGGGACTATACGTTAGAATCAATGCGGTGTAGACTTAATGTCTACACATGTCTACGACAAGGGGGCTAACTAGGTGTGTGAGGGGCTAGAGTCCTCACACATATAAATTCTTTATAGGTGTTCCCGAGAGTAAGAATATACGTTAAAACTAATGCGAAGTGCAGACTCCATGTTTAATAATGTCTAACACAAAACGACTAACATTGAGATGCGAGGATTGAAAGTCCTCGCACGTGGTATTACTCTAAAGGAGTTCCCGAATGGGAATCTTACGTCAGAGCCTACGCTATGTGTGAAGTCCAACAACACACATGTATACATAAGGTGCTAACATGGGAGTGTGTGCAGTGGGTGTGCACACAGGTGGGGTTACTCTTTAGGGGTTTCCGAAAGAGGTAGTCTTACGTTAGAGCCTACGCTATGTGTGAAGTCCAACTACACACATGTATACATAAGAGTCTAACATGTGAGTGTGCGCATTGAGAGTACGTACACGTGGGACTACTCTAAAGGGAGTTCCCGAGAGAGGGAGTCTTGGTATTCCTTATTTAATACTGGGTGTAGCTATAGTATTTAATACTATATGGAGTTCCCGAATGATTGGAGTATATGTCAGAACTATTGCTAAGTGCAGAGTCTAGTCTACACATGTATAACACAAGAGAGCTAACATGGGAGTGCGTGCCGAGAGAGGTCGCG